AAGAGTGTAAAACATTTTTTCTTGCTTAAAATTACTATAAAAGGAAAATTTTTAACAAAACGGACGTGATCAGGAGAAAGTTTTTAATCATTTATTCTTTTCAAAATACAGTATATATATATATATATAATTATTTTAAAGAATTTTTAAAATTAAAACAATAATAAAATAATTATATTAATTTAAATTTAATTAAAAAAATTATGTTAACTTAAATTTAATTAAAATAATTGTATCAGTTTAATTTTAATTTTAATTTTTTTTAAAATTGTATCAATATTTATTGTTTATTAACTTTGGAGTACATAAAAAAGGACTTTTCTATATGTAAAACATGAAATCTGATTCACTCGTTTACAACTAAAAGTCTCTAAGTGTAATCAGGGAGGTAGTTTATCATCAACTAATATACTGGAATTAAGATTTCGTATATCTAACAGTACTGCATACTACCTGCACAAAAAAAAGAAAAAATAAAAAAAGTTTTCTTAACAGAATCTGAAGAAATATACCAATCTCCAAAATGATCAAAAGGAACATATTGAAACCAAACTATCTATTCAAGCTATAAAGTATGTAATCTTTAACCATTATCTAATATACTCTATGGTATTAATTACTCACATTTCTTCTGGCCAGTTCCTTTTGACCTAAATATTCTTTGAGCTGAGTTCAATAGGCCTTTATGAATAGTTGAAGACTTGTCTGTTCATATATGACCTGGATGTCTTGAAAATAGGATTGACTATATTGACCATACCTAATCCATTCTCTTTTGGCCTTAGGTTACAAGATAGTCAATTTATTAAGTGATTACTATATACTTTCAAGTACATCAAGATTTTCTGATCTTCAAAAGTTTTTCTTATTTAACAATCTCTCTAGATTAATTCTTCTTGCTTATTTACTCACCTACTGGATTTATCTAGGATTTATAATGAACCCAAGGTTCTTATGGATCTTGGAAAATGCATTTGCAAGTTCAACAACCAGCCTGTGTTTTTGGGAGATTCATATGCAGGGATTCCATGCCTTGAATATGTCTTCTTAATTATCTTTAAAGGTATTGATTTGTTTTTGGAGATCTTGTCTACCTCTTCTGCCAGTGTATAAGTTAAGCTGGAAAAAAAGGTAAAGAACCTTTAAAAAAAAGCTTGCTTATCTCACTGCAATTTTTGAGGAAAAGAAATTATTACTTTCAATCTCTCCTTTGTCTATCCAACAGCCAACTCTTCCAGTTAACCAATCATATCATCGAATTTGTGTAATACAACAGGAAATATGTGATGATATACATGTTTTGTTTATATTTCCTTTACTTGTTGATCAATCAATCCCAAAATTTCATCCAATTATTTTGAAGGATTTCTGGTATAACCAAAAATTCAGGATCAAACTGAAGTAAGTAAAATCCTCCAGAAAACCAAAAAGAGGTTAACACATGAGAAGTAAACCAGCTTTAAGTTGCAAAAAGATAAAAATAAGCCCAGAAGTGAAATGCCTAGCCATTCTAGAGACCCTTCAGGCTTTGGCAAAAATAGTGAAAAGTGTTTTTCAAAAGTTTTTTCTTCCTAACAAAGTTTTCTTGCTGTAGATTCTGTAGGTAATTTATTGTATTTTGTTGTTGAAATATCAAGAGGTTGTTTGAAAAGAGAAGTGTATCAAGGTGAAGAGACTTATTTTGTCTTGGAAATGATGTTTTTAAGGAGAATGTATAGACTATATTATTAAAGAAAAATAAATTTTCTTGAGAACATCTGTTTTTTGGATTGGTAAAAGAATCAGTAGGAAGATTTATTTACTTAGGATCAGTCTAATTTTAATTAAAATAATTATATTACAATTATACTATATTATAATTATATTAATTATATAAAAAAATATTGTTAACTCAATTATTAAAATTCTTATTTTTAATTGCATTTGACTTAATTTAATAATTTTTATCACATGTATAACAATAATAAATTTAAATATTTTTATAATAAAAAAAAAAACAAACAATTCTATTTATTTTTAATATTATATTTAGAATAAGGTTTTTATTAATAATACTATTTTAGTATCAAGTCAATATTGGATTTATTATAAGTTTATATAGTAGATCACAATCATATATTAAATTTATTATAAGTCAGTATTAAATTAGTACTATTTTAATACTTAGTTTAAAACCTTAATCTAGGGATTATATATATAACAAAAATTTATAAATATAGAGCTCTGAAAAGTATCAAATTGATATTGAACTGATATTGAAATGGTATTAATCTATAATAAATTTAATATATAAATTATACTTATATGAATTTATAGTAAAATTAAATATTGAACTGGTATCAAAGTAATATTAAAATAATATTATTAGGAGCTCTAAATGATTCTTGATATACTGTAATTAATTGAGTTATTAAAATATAAATAATTGAATTATGGTTGTGATTCTAAAAATTGAAATTGAATAGACTTACATAAACTTGTATAAGATTCAAAACACTATAGACTTGCATAAACTTACATAAGGTTCAAAACACTATTAACACATATTAAATTTAATATAAATTTGAGAATCAAGAATCAAATCAAATCAAATCATTAAGATCATTAATTATAGTATAATTGTTTTTGAGAATTTTGAAAAATTTTTTTTTTTTTTTGAAAAGAGCAAATGGCTATCACACTTTATTATATTTATTATACTTTCACTTACTTATAGGGTAAGATACAATAATCAATAGCATGACATACATTTTTCTTTGCTAGAAAAAGTTTAACACAAGGCTCCCATATGGGGTCAGACCCTGTGCTCTTTTAGCACTATTCAAGGAATATAGACAAAAAGAAATTCAAAAATCTATATTGAATTATGAATAGCATCCAGCTACCTGAATATCTAATCACATGAAGGTGCTGCAACCAATCTATACAGGTTGACCTCCAAGTCATGATTAGGATTGGCATGCCTGCTTTTCAAATATGGCTTGATATACAGCAAGCGGAGTGGTGTTGGAGATGGTAGGAGATAAGTACCTTTTTGCATGAAGGCTCTGCAGCCACTTTATACAAGTTTGCCTCCAAGTTACAAAAAGGATTTTGGCACATCCATGCTTCAAGTGTGGTGGAAGTATCCTATAGGTGGAGTTTTTATTGGTTTTCTTAATGACGCCGGAATCTAACCTTGTACAATAGACCTACATTGTCGGAGGGGTGAGCGAGAAACTTCCATTGTCGTCACCAGCTCGTGTTGCGGGAGTAACTAGAATCCCTGGTGGTCACGTATTACCCTACTAAGTTCTCTAATCACCAGTATGACACCTGCAACTAACCTAGCTTATTGCTAGTTGCATTGGCATTGACTGCCATTTCACTCTGGAGAGAATTTTGAAAATTAAATCAACAGTAAAATAATTTATACTACATATATACTAGAAATTAAACCAATAACAAATAATCAAATATTAAAACAATTTATATATATAGATCATGTATTATAATGTTTTTGATTATGAAAGATTAAATAGACACAATAAATACTTTTTAAAATAATATATTTTTTTAAGCTTTAAAAAAATTTTTTTTTGCAATGTTAATTAAACTTGATAAGTTGTATATAATACAATTACTCAACTTTGGACTTTTTAGATTTTCTGGTATCCGAATTTGCATTTCTTTTTTGCGATAACCCTTCTCTTCTAAAGTATTCTTTTCTTTCTCTTTTTTCCTTCTCTGCAAGTTTTCCTTCTTCTCGAGCGACTTTTTTACTATGCTCCACTCTTTTTATTGCTTGTTTTTCTTTACGTTTTCGATCCTTTTCTTTCTTCAGTGTTTGTATTTGTTGCATAAATGTGTGAACCTTCTTTTCCTTTGGTTCTAAGACCACTGCACGTTTCTGCAAATATGAGGGCTTAGACCTTTTTCTAAGAAGTTTTGGCTTAGATGCAAATGGCAAAGCTGCTTGTATTGATGTCGGAATATAAAGTGGATTAAATCGGCGACTCATTCGTTCGATTTTCTAGGAGAAAAAAACAAGAAGCACTTTTTAACATGACAACATGAATCTATTGAAAATAAAAAAAATCGATATTTACTCTGTACTGAGAATCGGACTTTATGGGCGTAGCAACTTGCAAGTCTCTGCGGATTTGTCCGGTCAAACGCATTCCTTGCCACTCAGTCTTCGAAGACAATAATAATGATGTAACAGGATTATAATATTTCGGAGGTTTAATGGGGTACCAAGCTCTTAAGAATATTATATCTGTAGATTAACAAGTAATAAATTGCATAAGTGTATACACATACAAGTGTGATTGTGACCATTCCCTGAGGTAACTTACCACTCATCAACACTTTATCTTCAAAAGTTGCGCGAAAATGGCCTTCTGGTTTCTAAAATTTAAAGAGCATTCAGCATATAGCAAACGAAGTTGTGAGTTCGTCAAAACAATAACGTACCGATAAAGGCTTCTTAATCTGCCCACGGATACCCGAAACTGTTCTTATAGCAGCCCCTTCAAATTTTGCTACTTCTAATGCAGAGGTAAACATATCCTTTATAAAGGTAGTGTTTTTAAATATTTTGTACGGTGTACCGGTCAGCTTTAACTTTTTAACAATCTCAACCGAATGATTGATGTCAAGGATCACTCCCGTGGCACTTATACGGAAATCCGACTAAAACACATATACATATATTAAGCAATGATCAGTAAAACGTAGAAGTTACTAAAGAAACACATTTCAATGGTTAACTTACGGTGACGTTCTCGATTACTGATTGCACAGCACAGAATCCAGTGTTCGGTGGATGAATTGGCCCTAACAAAATAAAAAAACATCATACTTAACATTTTGACGAGATGAATGAATAATTTAACAAAACAATCGCCTACCGTATATGATGGCCAGGCAATGCATGTGCTCTGGAGTATATTTAAGCATTCTGTTTCGCGTACCATCATTTAAAGAATAAATAGGTATTGATTGAAATCGTCTCCATCCCAAGGAAAATATGAGAGGATCCTTCGTTTTAAGGATTTTTTTATGCCATCGGTGACGTTTAATGCGCAACTATTTTTTAGAGAATACCAGATGTCAGATTTCTCCGACAAAATTTTGCTTTCATAAATAAAACATCAATAAAAATTGTCACCTGAATAAAGCCAAGATTCTCTTCCGTGGTGAGTAAGCCTCCAACAATAATTGGGTATGTTGGATCAAAGTATTTGACAAATTCACATGGCATTCCTTTCAGCAAAATCCGAACATATGTTCCAGGACGAAATCCTTCAACCATTGCCCTAGTAAGTGGGTCATCGTCTTCAAATTCGTCGCGATTAAGCTGCAATTGCTTGGCAATTTCATCTTTCATCTCATCATAAAAATCCATTTTAGGCTTATCATCCTTATCATCATATTCTGCGTCAAATTTTTTCTTTAAAATTGCTCGTTTCTGAGAGAGTTCCTCCTTTTCAAGTTCCTCTTCTGACTTTTTTGCCTTAACCTCTTCACCAGTTTCAAGATCTTCAAAATCCCCATGGGCTTCATTATCAGAAATATCATCTGCCTCAAGATCCTCGTCTTCTAGACTTCCCGTAATGAATCGATTTCGAATAGATTCGAGAACCTAATTGCCCACACGTATATAATATTATCGTTTATCATATAAACAAAAATTTTTAGATCTCAGTTAATCACAATTATGAAACAATGTGCTAACCGTTTCGTCATCCCATTCATCAAGATTAGTCGAATCAAAAAATGGTTTAGAGGAATCGATTGCACTCAATATTTCCGAGTCCCCGGTGTCAGATTTCTTAATCTTTAAAAAATCATCATCGTCGTCATTATCATTCGTTGAAGTAGAACTATTCTTTTTATTCTCGCATTCTTGAACTATTCTGTCTGTATGTATAAGGTTAACACGTGAAACTTCCTCGGGTGTTTTCTCATTATCATAAATTAGCTTCATAATGTTTATTCTCCGATTAGAAAGAAACATATCTTTGGCCTTGGCGGACAAATCGGATTTCCATTTTAAAGCACCATCGAGATCGTTTTCACTATCATCCTCTTTGGAAAGTAGGTCGTCCATGTCGCTGTCGCTTTCAGCGAATGCAATTTCTTCGTCATTAACATCATTCTCCAAATTATTTACTGAATATTTATTCAACGCTGCTCTCCTGTTAGTTAAACCCGTAATATTTTTTCCATCATCGTCAGCATCCCCATCTAAATCATTGTCACTAGCATCTTCGTCCAAATCATCATCACTAGCCTCTTCGTCCAAATCATCATCGCTAGCATCTTCGTCCAAATCATCATCGCTAGCATCTTCGTCCAAATCATCATCGCT